AGAATTAATTTTTATTTTATAATCCGCATCTTTCTGGATTCCTATTGTTGCAATTTTGGACTGTTGATGTGGATATTTCTAGAGCATCGGTGTCGCTTAAGTAGAAACAAAGAACTTTAAACACATTTCATATCCGTTTAACTTATAACCTCTGTAATAAATAATACTTACATTATACAGCATTTCAAAATTACATTTCACCTATTGAATTAGCATTGGTGTTCGTCAACTTCATCATTATCATCATCGTCACTGTCGTCATCAGTTTCGCTGTCGTCATCTTGCCCTATAGTTATTATAACGGGTTCCATTTCCTCCATAAATTGATCATTTTCCCAAAATTTATCTTCAATGTCCCTAGCATGTTGACAAAATTTCTGCCAATCATTAATGGATATTAAGGACATCGCTTCCTGAGTAACTTCTTTCAGTGCGGTTAAACTGAAGTTTCCAGTGGTATTGCGGCTTCTTATATGAAATTTAAGCTTTGCCCAAGCTAATTCTATTGGGTTTAGCTCGCATAAATAAGGAGGTGTTCTTAGAGGAGTATGTCCATGTGATCTTATGATCCGATCAACTACATAATTTTTTTGGTTGTCAGGGGGCTTATGAAGTGAGACCAGATCGAACAAGTCAAATTTTCTGGCAGTTGCCTCATGATTTATGCCTATAAAATATTTTATTGTATAGTTTGATATGTACATGCATGTTTTGAGTCATAAGTACCTTTCTTTGTCAACCAGGCCATTATATCTTTTTTCGAAGATGATTTTGTCGGGGTTTTATCTTCCTGGACGGAATGATATGGAGCATTGTCAAATACTATAACCGAATTGGCAGGTATATTCGGGAGGAGTTTTTCTGTGAGCCAGCGTGTGAAATTTTCCCGATTCATCTGACCGTGGTAATCGCCTGTAGCTAATCCCGCCTTAAATATCAAACAGGCATTGTCAACAAATCCATTTTCTGAACCTGCATGCACTATAATGAGTCGACCTAAAATATACAAGACGATTATATAATATGTTACAAATCAGGGTTAAATTTAACATATATATAGCATTTTTGCTTACCTGTAGAACCTATACTGCTTATTACACCAGAAACAGTTTCGCTCTGCCAGCATTTTTTGAAAGTCAAGTCATTGTCCACCCAGGTTTCGTCCAAATAAACTATATTGCGCCCTTCTTCACGATATCTACGTATTTCACGGATGTATTTGTACCTCCATTGCAATATATTGGGCCTCTCCATCAAAACTTTCCTTTTATTTTGACATTTGCGCCAAAAAAAACCATTTGATTTTAATAAACTCCTGAGAGTTTCCCTATAATAGGGGAAATTTGAGTCTTCTCGCAACTTTTGTAATAACTTCCTAGTTGTCGGGACAACTTTATATTCAAGATAAAATCTGTTTATCAAATGTCTAATAATCTGAAAATCAAAATCTTCATCTTTCTCAACAAGAGACTGACGCGGTCTTTTCTTTCCGGGACTGGATAACATTTTATTCGGGTTATTTTCTAGTCTTTCTTTATCCTCGTTATGAATTTTCCTAACAGAAGATACTCCGACTCCGGTATAAAGGGACACCCTATCAAGCTTACGTTTAAGCGGCAACTTGAGGGAATTGTTTGCCGCTTCCTCATCGCAAACCCTATAAATAATCATCAGAATGTTAGCTTAGCATTTCCTTGTTTTTTATTTATATTCAGACTCAGTCGTCAAAAACTACAATTATTGCATATTATTATTACTAACCTATAAACATTCGCAATCACTTCTCTTGTTTGGCTATGAAGCGTCTTTCCGCGAGTAAATTGGTTCATTTTAAAAAAATAATACTAAAACGAATAACAATATCAAATAACAAAACACTAAACTATTCAAAAACACACAGCACTAAACATACAAACTTAATAGAACAATAAATAGTTAACAATAATAGTTGTACAACACGACAATCAACGGAGATAAAACCTACGCCACTGGACTTTTCAATAGTATGGATATTCTAAGAAAGGAGCAAAAAATTGTCTGGGACGCTACCCAATAGGGAGTCGAATTTTCTCATGGCGACAAAACATGTGAGGATATCCGCCAATCAGATTCGTTTAGGCGGTGTCCAATATACCTTTCGGGTGGTTGTTGCCAGCTCAACCGATGTAGATAAGATCTTTGGAAAAATGTTTACTTATAATACGATTCAGTAGTAAAAAATAGTTAGTAAATACAAATAGAGCTAACAACCCATTAAAATTCTCAGTATTTTGAATTAATATTTTTTGGAATTGTGAAAAATCGATTTTCAAATCATTGAAATTACTTTTTTTATTATTATTATTGCTTTTTTGTAGTTAAATTTGGCAATATCGAATATTTTCGGTCGCATTCCTTTCGCTGTTGCAGATCCGTTTGCCAAACTATACAGCCTAGTGACCATGAGAGTCGCCGACAATACAATAATTCAATATTGCAGCTTAATACCCAAAATAACGAGTTTTACCAACGAATTCGAATACAGGTAGAAGACGTAAACAAAGAATTTGTTTTTATTAATCATCTAGAGCGACACACAAACTCGAGTGGCTACCAGTTTTCTGCGGTGTTGCCACATCTTGTTCAAAATCAACAACTGCTTTCACGCAATCGATTGATGATGCACTGAGCAGTGCAAAAATAATCGTAAAATGTCATACGTGGTGATAACTAAATAAAGAGTATTAATTTGTCTCCAATATGTTGTATTTTCGAATGGAACAACTCACGTGTATGTACAGTTATAAATTGTTTGTAACACCTGTACCAAAAAGAAAGTCTGGTTCAGTTCCCTAAAATATTTCATATTGTGATGTTTCCACTAACTGATGCAGTGTCATCATAGCTTCAAAACCTGCCAACTTCACGGAACTTGCAAAAGTTAAAACAAATAATTTTCAAAAAAAAAACACAGCGATTTCCGAAAACGTCTTGAGCTATTCTTATTCTGGTTTTGTACTCAGCAGTTCAAAATATATCTGAAATAAGCTCCGAAGACAATTAAAAAATATGAATTGTTATATCCCGTTGATATTTCTTAAAAAACTAATATTTGCGTACTAAACGTGGAAACGCTGTGGTGACAAATTGAGAACAGCTGGGCTGATTTCTGGTGTTTTATGCTGGGGCTTTGTGCAATTGAGGGGAAGCTTTATTTTGCTCTTGTTGTCAGGTTTACGTGTGTTTCCGTGATATTTTCACAGAGTTTTGAGGATTTTGAAACATTTCAGTACAATATATAGCATTTTGAACTATTCGCGAAGATGGTGAAGTGTTACATGTTATGTAAAAAGCAGTTTAAGCGCGATAAAAGCAGATGTCTACTCGGGGAAAAGTATACAATTTTCGTTCAAGGTCAAATTGTGTAAAAACAATAATCTGTTGAGTTTTACCGACAACAGCGGTGGTCGCAGTAGTAGACTCTTCGGTCTCCTGATCAGTCGCCGTGCGCAGTGCGGGTTCGAATCCCGTCCCAGGAAACATTTTTCTCTTGGCTATGGATGTTGTGATTGTCCGTAGGTGGTAGACGGTATCTGACTGTCGAACGCGGAGGTACCACTCGGCGGATCTCGTAGGCGGAGCCAGAATGTGTGCATGCACACGTGTTCCCTCGCCAGAATCCGTGTGACGTTCCTCCTTTCTCCTGTATCCCCCATAGCCCCACGGTACTTAGGGCTGAGGACTTCGTGACAGTTGGAGTATACAAAAAAAACTGATAATGAGCGATGGAGCCCACTTCGATATCAAAGGATTTTTTAATAAGCAGAATTGTGGGCATAAAGGTACGATTCCACCAAAATAGTGTTCAGCACATATGTTTACAAACATTTTGTGTGAAACTCCAGCATTGAATGTACTCACTGGTATCGAATTCATCTTCTGTGTCCACCGGAAAAGCAGTGCATAACTTTTGTAAGCGTACAGTGTAGCACACTTGTGCACGAACACGTTTACCAAGCAAAGTTCTCACTAACTTCAGTTCTTAATATGGACGGGCAGGAATACGTAATCTTTTGTGCTTCAGCTTGTGTTTTAATAGGTAGTCTGCTTAAAAAGAAACGAAGAAGAAAACCACGATGTTGGGTGAGGCCTTTTCTACAGCGACGGAATGAAGAAACGAATAGAGTTGTAGAAGAAATAAAAGTAGATCCCTTAAGTGGATTTAAAAATTTTACTCGTATATCGTGTGAAGATTTTGAGTTGCTGGTCAATGCATTTAGTCCTCATATTGCAAAGCAAGACACCAACTACAGAAAATGTGTCCATGTTTCAACAAGGCTTGCAATTACCCTAAGATATCTTGCTACTGGAGATTCTTTTGCAACCTTAATGTATTTATTTAAAGCTTCAAAGGAACTTATTGCTCGGATCGTACCTGAGACTTGTAAGGGGTTGATACTGGTGTTGAAAGAAGACATTAAGGTAAGAAAACTAAGCCATATTTATTAATTTTTATTGCATTACATATCTTGCCAAGTTAATATTTCGCTGTTATGCTGCCGTAAAAGGTCGTCGTCAAAAGCACTATTGCGGGCTTGAAAACTTGACCATGCGAATTTGACGAATATGAATAAGGTGAAGGCATTGGGGTTGTAGCATATTTACCAGCATCAATAATAGCGTGATACAACAAATTATTAATGTCCCTTTGCACTAAAATCTTCTTTCGCTGATCTTTAATTTTTCTTAATTTCGTTGGGACGGCTGCAGCAAAAATGTCATCATCGTCATGTTTTCTTACTTCCATCTGCTTATTTACGTTGTCCATAATGGACAAAGCATGGGAAATTCTCGGGTCTGCATCGACAGCATGACGTTTCAACGAGTTCTTCGGAGCCTTAAACTTTTCTACTGGCCTTTCATGAGATGATTCTTGACTTTCATTTACTGTAGTATGTTCTTCTTGTATTAGCTGAAATAATGATAAGATTTTTTTTTCAGATGCCCAAAACTGCAGAAGAATGACTGCTGATTGGACGTCAATTCGACAAACTTTGGAATTTCAAGCTCCAAATAATACTGGAAGTGACTTTTTCAATTACAAAGGCGATTTCAGCATTGTACTTCTAGCATTGGTTGATGCAAATTATAAATTTACGTACGTAGATGTCGGTTGTAAAGGAAGAATATCGGATGGTGTTGTTTTCAAAAATACTGCAAATCTTCAGCAAGGACAATTAAATTTACCTCAACCTACTGCGCTACTTGGGAGGAACACACAAATTCCATATGTCATTGTTGCAGACGATGCTTTTGCATTAGATACGAATTTAATGAAACCATATCCCGGTCAACATGACAAAAGTTCGAAAGAAAGAATATTCAATTATCGGTTGAGCAGAGCGAGATGTATTGTGGAAAATGTATTTGGGATTTTGTCCGCTGTATTTTGCGTACTCGGAAAACCCATACTTTTAGCTCCAGAAAAGACACAATTAATAACACTGACATGTTGTTATTTGCATAATTTTTTGATGAACTAAAAGTCGTCTTAACAACTTTACACTTCTCCTGGCATTTTCGATACTGAAAACAGAATTACCCATAGCGCTATCGATGGAAGTTGGCGGGGCGATGCACCCATGGCAAACTTACTACCTTTAAGAAATATCGGAAGAAGACCATCTGGCGATGCGGAAGGTATAAGAGAAGAACTAGCAAATTATTTTCAAACTGACATCGGAATGGTGCCATGGCAAGAAACACTAGCGTAAAAATAATACCTAAGTATACCTAAGTATAATGAGAGTTATAAAACATTAAAAAAATTAAACGTACCTGTTCATTTATTTCGTCTTGTGAGTTCATGCTGGTGTTCGGTTCATCCCTTCCATGGAATAAATTCAGGTATGCATAAGCAAACCATCTTGGCTTATATAAATCTGAAAACCCAGAACCTGAAGATTTTGAATCCGCTATTTTCTTCTTTTCTCTTCGGTACTGAGCCAAAATAGTCTTCCATTTTCTCATTACCTCAGTCGAGTCACAACTGAAACTTTGAGCCGACTCTTGAGTGGCGTCGTGTTTTTTGTTTCTGTTTTTATAATCATTGTGACTGGAATCCCATAGAAGAAGTTTCAATTGCTTGAATAAATTTTATAATCCTATCATTCGTCCAGTTCATTTTCCATTTCGTAAAAGAAGTGCGCGTACAAATAAATGTTTTCACTCCAGGAGCGGGAGCAATACTGAGTTCGCGAACAACAAGTACGTATCCGCCGACGCGAGTCCACTGCTTGCATGTGCGCGCGCACAAAAGTAACTGATGTGCGCGAACGTTTCCGAAATGTTTGCGCACAATTTGCTATTGTTTGCGTGAGTGAGTCGACCAGAAGAAACATTTGTGCTGTACACTGTGCATTAGAGTGCCGCACAGTTCAGCACACTGGTGGAATCGCAACGACCACTACATCCTCGTGGAGTCACAGTTTGGTGCGGTGTTTGGTATGGAGGTGTTGTTGGACCTTACTTCTTTGAAGACGCTCCAGGTAATTCTATGTCACTGGCGAACGCTACCGCGCAAAACATGTGGTTCCAGCAGGATGGAGCAACTTGTCTCACAGCTAGCGAAACAATCAATCTTTTCCGAAAAATATTTCCGGGGCGTTTAATTTCTCGATTTGGCGATGCCAACTAGTCACCAAGGTCACCGGATTTAACGGCTCATGACTTTTTTTATGGGAATTTTTGAAAAAGAGGGTTTATGTCAACAAACCAAATATTGTAGAGCAGCTAAAAAACAAAAGCGGAAGCGATTGAAAATATTCCTCCCGAAACCTACCAAAAAGCGATGGAAAATGGAATCAAGAGGCGGACATTTGTCTCATATTATTTTTCATATAGTCTAAATTGCTTGGTACCAAAACGTCATTGTTTGACATTCACACAATTTGTTATACAATAAGTAGTCCACCATTCTATGTATTTAGTTAGTTTTTTGATTAAATACAAATTTAATGATAAGTGTCAGTACCAAAAATCGAAACGAACTAAACATATTTTGGCGAGCTGGGCAGCCTGGAGTGTGTTCATATTAGAAATGTCATTACTTAAACAACTGAACGTCGGACAGAGAATTACATTTTCTCGGTGACAATAATAAATAATTAGGGGTATAGGTTCCGAATGCTAAAAAAAACTGAAGTATCGCTAGGCTCTATTTGGCAAAGAGGATTTATTGTAATTTTGACCAATATTATGCCTTTAAATGCATTGCGAATGAAGAACGGAACACAGCGTATTTGTTATCCAAACGTTGAATCCATATCAACCGCCTCACCAGCGCGTCGTTAACGCAGCAGATTTAGCGTCCATGTCAGATGGCAATGTCACTATCCGCTGATATATTGGTTATTGTATGCCGATTCAAGAATGGCATGTTATTATCTCTATTACAAATACAGGGTGACTTTGAAGTTGAGTCATTAATTTTCAGATAATGATTGTAGAAGGAAGATAAACCAAAATATGTGTGTAAAAACAGAAAAAAAATTAAAAAAAAATGTTACCTTGTTTTATAAAGTATCCTCCCGACAAGTATTTCAGTGCGGACCTGTATTTGATCGTGCGGTCTTGGAGCACCGGCATGCCTCCCCTGTGAGGTCTTAAGTCACCTGATTCACGAGCCCTTTGTACTACATTAACAAAGGCACGAGGGGTTGGTTGCACTCGATTGGGAAACCGATTCGCTTAAATCCATGATGCCGCGGCAGCATTTTGTAAAGACTCCCCCCCCGTAAATAAGAATCATGACCACAAGTTCAGCATTTTCGTAAACATGTGCCATTTTTTATTTCGTTTGACCCACGCAACAAACACCACTATTCACTCACGCGTTACCGACTGACACAGACTAACATCGTGATAAACGTTTCAAATTCTTTCGCTTTTTTGTTTCCGATGCGATGAACCGATAAGGCGGATTATATCCGTTGTTGCCAAACACGAGCACATAATATTATTATTGAGACAGGGCGGTACTCAAACTTCTAAAGGGCTATAACTTTGTTAATTTAATTTTACCAGAAAAATGTTAAAGGAAAAAACATTTCTTTTGATCAGATCTACTCACTGTTAAAATAAATGACTCAACTTCGAAGTCACCCTGTATATATAACCCATGATACAATCACTGATGATAAAACTACTACGTTAGTTAATGGTATAACCCAGTAGGAACCCATTAATTATATGTTGAATGTCCGGATGATTTGTTGCGAGCTTGAACTTCCGGTGACAGCGGCGTTTATCCGGTATGTAATTAGACATCGCTGGTTCGCGAGATCTTTTCATTTACAGCAGTATCGTCCTAGCTACCGTAATTACAACCAGAGAGAAGGTAGCTCTTTAATTAATCATGTCCCGGAATGTACACATAAAGCACACAGCAGCGACTCGGTTGAGTTTCATTTAAGAAAGCCGCTTTCTGGACATGGTCAGACAGGGTTGGAATTTGATTTCAATGAAGAATATGCGCTAGGGTATACTTACTTACTTTGCATTGCATTGAATTCTTTCAGAAGGCATTTCGTTCTATCGTTTCTCTCTAATTGGTACTTGACTCCAATTAATTTATGTCAGGCTTCACATAAAAACGAAAATGTCTTATGTTTAATCATTTCCATTAAGAGGTCGAGATGAGAATTTCTAAACTAGCGAAGAACAGTCAAATTGCCACCATCTGCTGATAGATTCTTCTGTATGGATGTGAATCTAGTTGAGAAGCAGATGGTTGACGGGTTCATTTGGCAGACCCAGATCTTGGCGGTATTATAGAAGAGAAAAGTCTGTTAGCATATTCAGGGTTAAAAAATACCCGAAGCAGGAACTGCCTGTCGATCTATTAAAGAAGTTTTATCAATCAGTGGGATTCGTTCATTGGCTTTGTACTTTTTTTATACAAACTGTACCACTGTGAAAGGCGCCAAGTATCGTTAGTGTAGGAAGAGGAGGGGGAGGCGGGTGCATAGGTCACAAATTAGAATATTGATCAACTGAAACACTTTGTTGGATGACAATTTTGAAACACTAAGTTACATCTATCAGTTTTTTGTAAAAAGGAATTCTTGTTCTATTGTCAAATCAACAGTCCGTTGTTCTCCACCTATAGGGTGACAGTCCGTCAAATACAGCGAATGAGCTTCAAGTTCCAATCAACAAATTTTAGCAATCAATAGCTATGAAATGTTGAAAACAAAATACTGTCAAAGTATGAGATCACAGCTGACATTGAAACATCACCAGCTTATTGAATCTTAAGAAATTACATATAATTTGGTAGAAATTTAAGTGCTGGATTATTGAATCAAATTCATGTTTTTATTTAATATTGTCAATTATTTATTCATGTTTATATTATTTTCTTCAATTGATATGCGATTTTACTGATTCAACATCACCTTTCGCGTATTATTTTCCTATAAACCTCTTGCAGATAACCATTAAGCACCTACTTGATGACAGGCTGCACCAAAAATTTCATAGATATTGCTCGTTTCCAATTATTCACTCATTTACATCAGAACCATTATGGCACCTTAGATTGATATTCCCACAAAACCATTAAGGTTTTTTGATATCCATACATCCATAATGTCAAATATTTTCTGCTTGTTCAGGAACTGAACAAACATCCACACTATTCTTACAGCGATTAAGAAATACTCAAATATATGTCGTAAAGCTACCAGAAAATCTACATCTACACATTCTAGGTTATATATTTAGACATTATTTGAATAACAGCTGATTATCATACTTCAAAACTCGCCAACGAGTGACACAGTGGAGTAAGCTCCATTGATATGCGATTTTACTGATTCAACATCACCTACTGTGTGTTCTTTTCCTATAAACCTCTTGCGGATAGCCATTAAACACCTATCTCACGACTGACTCTACCACAAATTTCATAAATATTGCTCGTTTCCAAACATTCATTCATTTACTTGCCGTTCATCAGCACCATTATATCACAATCGATTGATATTCCCACAAAACCATTCAGGATATTTGATATCCATACTTCCATAGTCAAATACTTTTTGGTTGTTCAGGAACTGAACAAACATCCACACTGTATTTACAGGGATTAAGAGATACTCAAATATATGTCGTAAAGCTACCCGCAAACTTAAAACCTGCAAAAACAATAGAATTTGCAATAACTTTCTTGTTTCACTGAGTACACATTCTATGTATTTATATTAGACATTATTTGTATAACAGCAGATGATTATCACATTTCAAAACTCCCAAAGAGTGACACATGTGTGGGATCTGTCAACCCTTGGTCCCAGTGGCGTAAGCTCCGCCAACTGTTGAAATATATTCTACTATGCTTTATAAGACTATATGTGGAATTTTCCCCAAAATCGTGGCACAACTCTTGGAAAAATGCAAATGAAAATTTAAAATTATTTCCATGATACCGCAAAATAGCTCCGTCGGTACCTCTGGTTATACATCTTGACAGTAGGGATGTCCGGTACGATCCTATATTTAGAAGCATCGATACGTTTCACGAGAAAGAGTTGAAACCAAAAATAAAGCTAAAAGTTAATTTTATGTAGTCTTCATAGTTTTATGCCCCATATCAATCATACGTATGCATACACACTCATGCAGTCGGGCACATGGGAGGCGTAGATTTGGGTTGCCTATGATTATGAACTCACATCCTCATCCCTTACTCGGCTTGCTGCCCTAAATTGATTTGTGCATAAAAAGGTACAGACTGGTAGATTACAAGCAATAAAGAAACCGAAATCTGTCTGTTTTCAAAATAAATATTTAATTAAAGTTCATGTGTTCAGGGGTAAAACAGAAAAATATTCACAATCCTGTAACCAAGAATCGAAAAAGGAGTTTCCAGAATGGTTGCAAAGTACTTTGAAAGAGCGACCAATATGTACATTGTAGAAAATGTCATATAGAACTATGCCCTTAA